TAGGTGCGGTAATCACAAAGGTACGATCACCTCACTGTTAATACCGGGACCTAGGGATGTCCAGAACAACTTGATTAGCAGACTGGAGAGCTCAGCTGGGGCGATGTTATTCAACATCTCAATTAAATATAGTTATATATATGAAGGGCTTTTAAAACAAGTGTTAAAACTTTAAAATCAATCTGAAAACAGAGCGGGAGCCCGTGCAGGAAGGAGAGGATAAGAGTGATATGGCTTTGCCTGAATGAGCCAGAGAGGAGACGAGCTGCTGCGTTCTGTACTAGCTATAACTGTTGGAGTGACGACTGTGGGAGGCCAGAGTAGAGAGTGTTGCAGTAGTTCAACCGAGAACTAATAAATGCATGAATCACCTTCTCCAGGTCTTGTGAGAGAAAGGGTTTCACCTTGGTCAAAAGGAGCAGCTGGAAAAAGCTAGCTTTGACAACAGCATTTATTTGTTGTTTGAAGTTCAGTTCAGAGTCAAACTCTCAGGTTCCTGACAGCATTGAACCCCTGACCTTGGACTGAGGGACATCTTTGGAACCAAAAATGATGAAGTCATACTTTTATTCAGGTGGAGAAAATCTGTGTAAGCCATTGTTTAATGTCCAAAAGGCAACTATGGAGAGAGTCGAGAGCAGTGGCAGTATTAGAGAGCACTGTTAAACTGGTAAGTCCTGATTGGCTCTGACCAGTTAGTCACAGCTCCACACCAGTTCCCTTTTGTTATGGTAAACAGGTTATGGCTCAACAGAGTGACGTAGCCACTTCAGGCGGTTCTTGCGGTTCAATGGTGAGTACATTAAAGATAATAGCAGACAATAACTAACTGTAGTGTTTTTTTCTGGAAATCCTTCGCCCACCATAACCTCAATTAGAATCATTTGCACTCAGGTGCTCCAGAACATACTGTAGCCTATTAACCAAGGGTAGCCAATGAGTTTCTACTTTTACTTGAGTAACAAAACGATAAAGTATTGCTATTCTTACTTGAGTAAACTTTCTGCGTACTCAAGGCACCGTCGTTTAACAGAAATGAATTTGGTTTGCTAGATCATTTTTAAAAACTGATAACAGAATATCAACTTAAAGCAGATGGGTATAAACTAGACCTCTGAATTACTTAGACTTTGTTAGTATAAAAAATAATTTCTGAGATTATTTCATTATTAGAGGATTTTGGCAGATTTTTAACAGTATAAATTGGTCCTGGTCTGTTAACATGCAGAAATTACACTGAGACTCCAAGAGAAATGCGGTTTTTTTTTTTTATATAAAGAAGCGTTGCACAGCAGAACAACTTCCTAACAAACCTGACTTCCCCACATGTCCTCCTCTCTGCTGCTTCTCAGTTGTTCTGCTTTTTCATGGATCGTGATTTCTTTTTTCCCCCCTTATTTTCATTCCAAAAAACTTCCCATCTCCATCTGTTTCTCTCATATTTGTTTGTTTTTCCTGTTTGCTTGTTGAACTCGGTGTGTTTTCCTTATATTCTCATATTTTTCTTATACTACTGTCTGTTTCTGTACAGCACTGTTTTTGTTTGCACCTAATTCCCTCACCTCCTCCTTGGCTCTTTTTGTCTATTTTGCTTCCTTTTTGCCTTTTTTTTTTTTTGCTATGTGAGTCTATCTGCGTGTGTGAATGTATATCTGTGTCCGTCAGTCTACCACACGGCTGCAATTCATCATCATTTTATCTCCAGCTCCCTCTAATTGGATCCTATCATGGTCCCACCTGACGAGCAGAAAGGCAGGGGGAGTAGGGAAAAGGGGGCTCCAGCTAACGCCACATGGATGCGTGCATGAGCAAACACACACAGTTCAGCCTCTGGTATCCAGCTCAATCAACAGCTGCAATGTTGGGTTACCAGCTTGTTGCCTATTTTCCTCAACTCTTTCTAAGGTAATGTTGGGATTTTATGAAACACTGATTCAAACCAAGAATTATGAAATAAAGAGCGTTCAGTTGCGTTTTTTTTTTTTTTTTTTTTTTGTGTGTGTATTCATTAATTTGTTTTTGTCTGATTTCTGCTGAAGTTCTGTTTTTTTCCAACAGCATCAGGAGCTCATAGCATAAGCGGAGGTGTTGAAATAAACATTATCAGTCCATCATAAGCAGAGTTGGGTAGAGAACCAAAACAATGTACTCAAGTAAAAATAGCCCTAGTTCAACATGCTTCTACTGGAGAAGAAGCAGCCGTCCAACAAATTATTAAGTAAAAGTTAAAAGAAAATTAAAAACAATCCACTGGACTTTGTTTCCAAGTTTGAAGATGTTTCGCTTCCCATCCAAGAAGCTTTTTCAATTCAAATGGTCAGGAATAGATTTGAGTTTTAGGCTTTTCTTTCTTCAAACTTGGAAACAAAGTCCAGCGGATTGTTTTTAATTTTCTTTTTTTTTTTGGACTGACTATGACTTGGATGACTGAAAATCTTCACCAGCAAGAGTTAAATGGTACTTCAGTAAAAGTTCTAATTAACTGTTTTACTATCTAAAATAATGCAAAACAGGCAGACCATAATATAAATTATGTAGAAATTCTTTTTGCATTATAGACTAAAAGAAAGCAGTGTTAAAATATATTTTAAAAAAATGGAAAAGTGATTCAGGCAAAAAGAGCACTTTAAAAAAAAAACATTTTTTCTGACATAAGGAAAAATATGTGAATTATGACGGAACAAGATAAACTAACTCCAGTGACAATATTTACTTTTTTTTTTTACATATATTACCTTAACCTCCATGTCATAGAAGCCTCAGCCGATAAAGGTAACTTTCTTACATAAAAAATTGGACAAAAGAGAAAAGTCATTTTAGGTGAACTGTATGCCTGTTTCTTGAATAATAAAAGTTGAAATGTGCTTCTTCTTTTTTCAGTATAGGTACTCACTGTCAAGCAGCCAAAGGTTTTACTTGAGTAAGACAAGCGAAACTTATTGATATCAGTAGTTAAGTAAAAGTAAGAAGAATGGCGCAGTGGAACTACTCCTGAAAATACAGTTTTAGTCAAAATCTATTCAAGTAACTATTTATTGCTCACCTCTGATCTTGAGATTTGGAAAAAAAATCCTAAAGAATAAAAGTCCTAAAAATCAATCCAATAATCAAACAGATACAACACAATGTAAAAGTTTTCACTAAACAAAGTTGTTGTTTTTTTTTGTTAACATGCTGAACACAAGGTAACAGAAAGAACGGTAAAATTAATACCGTAATCCATGAACTTGGATTATCTGCCGTCAGCAAGATCATCCAATATAAAGGGTCAGCAATTATAGATTTATGCCAGATTCTCAAATTGGATGACCTGAACAGCATTATTATTATTTTTTTTTTGTTGTTGTTCCATCAAATTTCAAAGCTTTTTTGTGTCTTTTATAACAGAGTGGGCTTAAATACCATACATGTTAAACTTAATGTATAAAAACGCATTCATAATTTTTTCATTTTAATTAACACATACAGTGTATTTCCTGCATATCTGAGCTCCCTACTGGGAACTTTTGCACAGCACCAAACACCCTTTTCTTCAATCACGTGTTTGATTAATGCTTTAAGGACGTCAGAACTAACAAAAAGTCTGAATCTTACTTTGCCTAAGGAATAGAAATGTCATTCAAAGTAATGAGAGCAAAGGCCAAAATTCCTTTAGAACCATTCGATTTAAATATTCAGCTTGATGAACAGCACTTACTGTTTTTACAGCTCATTCAATATTCAAAAGGCTTCAGAGCAGGCATGTCATTAAAGGACAAATCTGACAAAAAACTGGTAATAACAACCCTAAAAGTCAAATCTAAAAGCACAATCACTTGCGTTGGGCAATTACAGCAAGGCGAGCTCCTAAATATGCATGATTTACCTCTCTGAAGCACAAAAGAACCGCGGGAGCTATCATTATGATCGGGAAATCAACTTCAATGATATGCCTATGAACTATTTTTGAGTCACCATCCGACATCAGAGGCAGAAAGAATTCAAGGATCACAGTGCTTGTGCTCGATCTTTCCTTTGTAGAGTTCAAAAGCACCGGGAGGTGACAAATCAGCAATGTGAACCTGTGGTAATGCAAAAGTCAGCTAAATGAGGCGCAGCAGCTGACAGGTGTGGGAGAAGCTGAAGCTGCTAAAGCAACATGTTGCTTCCTGGAGCAATTTTACTGCAGTTTGATGCTGGACCGGACATGCAAGATGCCTACGCCTCTAATGTCAAGTTAGCTCATAGCGAAAATTAACTAAATGCCTCATCCTCTGATTGGAGCTCAGGTTGATGAACTTCCTTTAAATGGTTACTGTCTCTACCCGATCCGTCCCGCAATCACGATCCGTCCTGCGCATGCGCGAACATATATTCATCTGGGTGTCCAAAAATGATGTAATTACTAAGATTACAATAACTAAAATTACTTATTTCTATCAATTAATCACTAAAGAATGCTAAAACACAGCTTTAAAAAATGTTTTATGACTTTTGTGAGACAATTTTGATGCTTTTTACATTTTCTTTGTTAAACTGCTTCTCTGACATCATTGGACATGCTCAGAGCAATCCGGCAAAATACGATTAAACCAAGTTTATCTGCAATTTAGTTGTTTCTTTCTTTAGATTGGGCACTATATACCATAATATTAACATGAACAGAAAACATAAAACTCAAAAAGCCTAGATTTATGTTTAAATCCAAAGCCGAAAAATGTATTCATCGGCTGTAGCATAGGATTCCATTTCCGGTGCACAGATGAGTGATAAAACAGGATTTTAAGGCATTTATTTTCTCTGGAAATTCATTATTGACCTTTAACACATTATATTTTAGTATGCTTACTATTTTAGGGACCTAGATGTATATCTGGGTGGGCAAATGAGCTGATGGCGAATGCGCAAAACGGATCGTGCTTCCAGGACAGATCGGGTAGTGACAGTTACAGTTCTTTCTTCTTTTTTGCTGCTAACTTTGAAGCTCTCTAACAGTAAAAAATCGGTCCTTTATATCTTACCATGGTCTTCTGACATTGGATGCTGGAGCTGTTGAACCTCAGTGCAGGGACGTTGTATGTGTTGCCCTGGATGTGAAAGATGCACTCATAGTTCCTTTGTCCAGACTGAGGCTGGGGCAGGTTCTGAGCCAGCAGAGTGATCGGCCTCATCACACCAGCAGGAATGTAGATCTGAGTGGAGGGCAGGATCTGAGGGCACTCCTGGTGAAGAAGAAGAAGAAAAGAAACGCTTGAGATGAGTCTGGCAAATGCAACGCATTAAAGTTTTGCAGTGTAGATCTATAGTCAGAAACAAAGACTTAAAAACTTTCAAAATAATGTGAATAATCTACATCTGATGTCAGATTTTGTTTGACGTTTCTGCAGAACAGTAGGAGGCTCCACTGATATCGAAGGCAGCGGAAAAAGACTACAGAAGTTAATTTAGGAACCTTAATTGCATCTAATCTCTAAAGAGTTTGCATTTTTCCAATACAAACATGTTTTAACCAGAAACTAAAAACAAACATGCAGATCCAACATTATTTTAAAGTGACTGCTGCTGGCATTGCGATCTGAGTAAATTCCCCTATGTCCATTACCATGAATCCTTGTCTTTTCCTTCCCACCAGCCACACCGGACGCTAATCCAGAAGCATTCCAGCTTCCTTTGTTCTCCAGCCGACATCAACCAGCCTGAAATCCACTCTTACAAATTATCAACTCTCATGAGGATCAGCTATGCTTTTTCATTAAACACTGAATATTGAATGTAGCACTGACTGGTTAAAAAGAGTACAAGCCAATTTGGAATATGCCCCTCTCCCCATATTAATGAGGCTTTCATGGATATTAGGCATGTTTTGGCTTAAAAGAATTCACTACAGCATATTCTTATTCCTTCAGCGTGCACCAAAGTGGGAGCCTGAGGCAGCACCTCCCAGAACACCGGACAGAGCCCCATACCGTACTCTGAGACTGTCTAATGGGTTAAAGGGAGATAAATGAGAGTTTAGCACTTTAAATAAGCACCTTTTTGATGCTCTTCAAGAAAGAACAAATTGGCCAAAACACACATTTCTATTATGCTAATATGAACACAGAGAAATGCTTTAAGCAACATTTTCAGCCTGAGGTAAATTAAAAAACAATAACTGATCCATCAGCTGGAATCTAGGTCCTAAAACAATTGCTGTTTTTAAATTGCTGATTTCTGCTTTGGCATTTTACTCATGAGTGGGGAATAAAGCTACATCTTTGGGTCCTGAGTCAAAACTTTTAAATCTTTAGATATTATGAACAGTCTCAAAGGTTTAATCTCTGCATCAAATGTTAGACACCTGAATCCTTTTAATTCTGAAGTGTGGAGTCTAGTTAGAAACAAACACTCCCTACCCTTCCGATTAACCTGAACAGCAATACAAAGATGCTGTAAATTATGGATAGGATGTATGAATATTAAAAAGCAAATGCAAAAACAAATCACACTTCAAACACCATCAAGCAAAACGTAATTATCCTATTGTGATAGCAAACATTTGTATCAAAGAAAACTCAGAGGCAACAGAATGCCATCAAAGCAGTAGAGAAAACAGAGCCGTGCAAGCAGGCAAGTCAGTCGATCTAGAGGTACAGAAGGAAAAATATGACACAATGGCGGAGGTAAAATAGTTCTCAAAATATTTACAAAAGCCTTCACACACATTGACAGTATTGTCTAACTAAATATAGAATTATAAATACATGATTAGAAATTTGATTCTGTCAAATATCACGATATCTCATTAGAAAATGTTGTTATTGATTCAAAATAGAGCTGAACTTTTCTGCCTAAAATCAAAAATTGATATTTATTTAAACCAATATTGCAATTTTATTGCAGAACTTTAACGCATTCTTAGTGTGAATAAGTTCTTACTTCTACTATCATCCATGAATCTGCATGCTACATGCAACTCTCTATTCCCTTCTGTTTGGCGGCAAACCCAATTTAAGTTTAGAGCGCAACCTAAAGGGCTGAAGGGAGCATTTTGGTGTCTTAATCTTGTTAAATGTGATTACTAAAATTGAGTGCCTCTGTGATTTAAAAATTGTGTTTTTCAGAATTGCAATTATATTGCAAATGCAAATAATCTACCGAGGTAATGAATCACCCTTATTGATCAAGTTGTAGTTACAGGCCACGTAAGATTGCAAGAAACCTAACTGCATTACAGGTACCTGAAAAATATTTAGTACTCAAATCAGTTACTAAAATCAGTTACTAAGGGTTTTGTTATGTAACAATGTTACTTCCAATACCTCTAATGAGAGCAAGGAAGTCCACTGTAGCAGACTGTCATTCAGGCTAAAAAGAAATTTTAAGTAGATACTAGTATTAAAGTTCTGATAATAGGACAGTAATTAATATTTAGATCCTCAAAAGTACCTGCATACTTACCGGCATGTATCCAGATACTTTGTGCAGCATATGAGTTACTAGGTCAATTACTTTTTGGAACAACAAGTGACTTTAAAGCTTAAAAGAGGGCTTATAAAGCTAATTAAAATCTTAAGCTCCTGTCACACCTGATGATTTAGACCAGCCTATGCCTGACCTATGGAAAATCAGGCAAAAACACTGGCATATGTTGGATAACTTATGGGTATGTTTTGTGTAAGTTATAAGCACGCTGAAGTGTGCTGAAGCACGCTGAAGCCCACTGGTACACATCGACATAGGGCAAGTATGCCAGCGTATGGTCATACGAGGCATAGGTTACAGGTAAGTTATCTGATCGTTGACATACCTTAAGTGTAAGTTACTCATAAGTCATGGCGTCTAGCTTATCCAAAACCCATAAGTTGTGCATAACTTATGCGTCACTTATCAAGAACTTATCTCCAACGCATATCATCGTAATTGACGTTTTTCTAACTCCGAGCTACTGTATAATGGCAGCGTTTTGGAATAAAAGGGGGTTCTAAGGAGGAAAATGACATTTCTCATCCAGACTTCATCCCTATCATAGGGTAAGCGAGAAGGTGAGTGTGATGGATCCGCCCTGCGTCCACAGCCACCACCAACAACCTTGCAAGCAGACATGACACTGAATCTGGTGCAACTCCAAACTTACTTACTTACTTACTGGCGGATGATAAACAGCAGCCAGTTTATTATTGCAACCAAAGACATCTTTCTATGCAGGCTGGGTGTCTCCGGGTGCATCGCTGCTCCAGAGGGGAGCAGCTTTAACCAATGCTTCGAAATGCCCATTGGCATTACGCTGCCGCGCGTTATGCATAAGTTAGGCTGGTGTTGGACAAAAGTTCTGGACTTGGTATGAATACGCTCTAAATATGCCAAAAATTGAAAAAAAACACATAAAAAGTTCAGCGTATGCCAGCGTTTTAGGATATTCTGGGACGTCAGGCATACGCTGGCTAAATTAGCAAGGTGGGACAGGACCCTCAGCAAGTTATTTACATTAAATGGTAATGTGAGGGTTTGATTCTACTTTTAATTATTGTTGTCTTGTGTTTCATTAGTTTCTATCTTTTATTAGTTTGGTGCTTTCATAGATAATTCCTTGTCTCTTTCTAGTTTGTTTTGGTTAATATTAGCACTTTTTCCCTGTTTACTCCCTCTCACCCTCTGCTGCCTTTCTCTTTTTGCCCTAACTCCCTTTTTACTCTCTCCTCTCACACCAGCAAACCATCAGCCAATCAGCCCCTGTCTATTGTTTCAGATTCACACTCCTAGTTATACTGCTGACCGGTTTCTCCTTGTTATCACTGCAGTGTTTTCCCTTCTCCTGCTACTCGGTGGATTCTTGTTTTTGTTCGTCCCTGGCACCCTACGTTTATTCTGAGTTTTATAACTTATTTTCATCACTTTTTCATTAAATATCCAAAAGAATATTTGCTGCCTCAAAATGCCTGACAAAATCTGGTGAAAACAAAAACAGTTCAGTTAATAACAATAAACAAAGGAATCAGTTGAAATGTAAAGAAATAGCTGAAAAAGTGGTTAAGGCAGTCAGATGGGCTTTACGCAAAGGAAGAAAAAAAAAACATTTGTTTTTAAATTTTGAGAAAATACTTACAGTTAAAATATGCCAAAATAATTACTGGGCTGATTTTTTTTATACCTCCTTGCATCTGAACCATACTGGAAAGCAAAAGCTGCCATTCCTTTGAAGAGTTTCATTACACAGCACAACATTCACACTCTTCCCTCACATTGGGCTTACATATATCTTACAAAAGACCCAAATGCACAAACCAATGGAAGAAAAAGAGAGGGCAACACACAAAGGAGGCAGGGAGCGAACAAAAGCTTCAGCAGCAGAGGATTGTGGGAGCTGTTTCATTAGGAGTGGTGACAGGTGTCAGAGCTGAGTCTGCATCAGATAGCGGGGCGGTTCAACACAATGAGACACAACAATCTCCTTTACCTGGGGGAATCCTCTAATGCCTCTTTTCTCTCTCCCCTCCTTTCTCTCTTCCTGCAGTTCACAATTGATCTTTTCTACAGTCTATGTAGCATCCCTCTTTTTACCCCTACTTTCACCTTCTGTTTGATCCTTTTTACTGGGAAAACTGTAGATGCATTCCACTTTCTTTTTTTCTAGCAAAGGGTTTTCTTCAGATCCATACCTGGAATCCTGCCACTCATGGCTCCTGGATGCTAATCTATACAAAAGCAAATCACCCGGAGAAAATCTCTTGTTAAAATCAAAATCACATAATCATCATTTAGAGAGAAACAGAGGCTGTAAAGATCCAGAGCTCAGATTATAATTATGTTGAGGAAAAAAAACGCAATAGAAACTGGGTTACATTTGCAGCACACTATTAAAGACAGAACTAATCTCTCAAGACACAAACCCCCATGGTAAAACATGATGGTGGTAGTGTCATGATGTTGGGTTTTTGTTCAGCAGCAGAAAAAGGGGAAGTAACTGCGATTTGGTGGAAAGAGGAAAGGAACTCAATTCAGGGAAACCAAGGAAGAAACTTTTTCAGATGCTCCTAAATATTTGAGACTGGAGGGGAGGTTAACTTTCTACAGCCAGAGCAACAAACCAAAACTAAACATTCTGATGAGCTAGAATGGTGCAAAGTCCAATCAAATCCATTTAAGAATCATGAACTTGAAGGAGCTTGAGAGACATTTAGGAGAAAATGTCAGAGTGCTTCCACACGACGGATGCAAGTCATTAATAAATGTATTAATATAT